CTATGGCATTATGGAATTTCAGCAGAAATGTCTCACTGACCAAAATGATGCTCTTGCTAAGGTTAACAGAAAAATAATTACTTTTATCTTTAGCCCTACCTAAAAAATCATGGAGTTTTAGGCCCCAGGCATTCTAGTAACAGTGTTAGCAAATAAAATGTGTGTGTAGGTATATGTGTATGTATACACAGAGAGGAATTCCAACCGTGTATAGTTGATGGTGTACTGAATGTCCTGAAGATGACTATTATTTACTGAAATAAAGCATTAGCAAGAACGACTGGTGTGCAATACAATCACGGGTCTTTGTTGTTTTCAGAAACCTAATGAATGAACACAGACCATCCATTGGTTTCCGACATGACTGGCATATGGTGCTCATAAATAAATAAAAAGCATGATATTACAGTTACTCTGATACCAGTCAGTGGTAACATTTGGTAAACTGGAGAGCTGTCTATTCTATCTTACCTCAACAGCAAAACCACAAAATCTCTGAGTAAAAGACAATTAATTGTAACTGATAGTTTTTGGGATTTCCTCCCATTAAGCCAGGTTACAAGGTTCCAAAAGAAACATTAGACCACTTCTTAATGTATGGCTTCAGATATATATTTTAAAACCATTAAAATTACATAGAAGGTAATTGTCAGCTACAATAGCCTTCAGCAACAATACTTCCATACTTAGGAGAGACTCACAGCAATATAAAAGAGTTTAGCAGGACCTACATTCTACCTTGATTCAAAACTGAAATCCTAAAAATGCCAAAATGGCTGCCTACAGGACCAATACTGCTCTCAGGTTTTACAGTGGTCTAGTCTACTCTTTGTGTTACTTACCAGAACATGGGTGACACTGGTTCAATTTCCAAATTTCCATGGGTTTAGGAACGTCAGTTTCACATCTCTCCCAGGAATGCCCTACCTCTACACTCCTCTTTCCACATGTTCTCACTGCTTTCCCGAACTGTCACGCTCTCGCCAGTGGTATCACTACTGCAAAATTTGCAGCATACAGGAATACATTTCTTTCTTCCACACTTGCATTCCAAAGCCACAACCAGATCCCTAGCAGTAAGTAATCTTGCTGATCCATCTCAAAACACAAAACACATATTATCTCAAGCAATTGGGAAAATGACATGGGTGAAGTTGTCCACTAGCACAAAGACACAATCCCTAATGAGGTCAGAACATATCCAAAATGGGTGTCATCTGAAAGAACCATTCCCCTGGGGTATTTGTGATCACCTCTTTTGGGTTGAGACTAGGCCAAGATCTGGTGTTAACATACAGTATACAAGAGAAGTATACAATATATTCCTGAACACTTAAGTGTTCAAATGGTCTTTAATTAATTTCCATATGATAGAGGTCACCTCTCCTTGGGTAAACCTAAAGTGATGATTAAGATTGAGATACAATTGGAAAATATTTTTATTTCTGAAGTAATATATAGGCTGGTGCTGGTAGTAACAAATCAGCCCCAATTTGGTCATTAGATATAGATCATCCATCCAAGAGCTGGAGACCTGTGTTTGTTTTTCATAGGTTATACCATGCAAAAATAAAGGCTTGTGTTGACAGTGGATTACATGGAATAGCAGAATAGCAAGGTATCACTTCTCTGGGATTTAGATCAGAATTCCTAGGAATCTTAAGGCTGGAAAATTGTACCCTAGATTCTGTCAGGACTATCAAAGCAGAAGAACGTCTGATGCTAGCAAGGATGACAGGTAAAACTGAGTTTGGGGGGGGGGGTTATCCTTCAATAGTAGGGGTTCTCTTCTTGTGATAGTGCTAGTGATACAGTTGGGTTAGAGGAATGAATGGAGAACTGTATTTATTCCTGAATTTCACTGGGATTGCCATCTTAAACTTAGGATGCTAATACAGTAGTAGAACGATTGTAGCATAGCTTACAGGATATATTTTGATCTGTTAATGGCCAGGGTCACTTCTGGTTTTACCCAGGAGGACATGTTAGCCTGTCAGAGTAGCTTGAAAACTGTACTGTAGATACTTTGAATCATAGCAGTACAAGCAAGGGCTGCATGACAAACCCTACCTAAATGCAAGAACTTTGTCCTTTGTTGGGATGTAGATGTGGAAAGTTAGGTTTTGTTTCTGGATCCTGGAAGACCTGCTCTTGCTGTTAGACCAAAAGACTAGGGTTCAGGTCTGTCAAAGTCATCAGTCTTCCACTTGGGCTGAAAAAGATGAACTCCTAAATGCACCTGCAATGAGTCCTGGGATAGCCAAGTGTTGCTTTTCTGGCCTTAATACAGGAGTTTGTGAAATGCCTGCAAAACCAGGCTAATTCACCGTTTCTGCAGATGCCACAGGAAACACAGGAGTTCTGGGTACAGCAAGGGAACCGAAACATGATGGGATGGACTATGTTTGGTTTTAGGTGAAGTTCATCTTTCAGGTCCACAAGGGTCTGAGAAGTTAAGTGCACTCCTAAGCAGGTTGTGTGCTGCAGGGCTCTGCTGAGCACTGACACCTTTAGTTGGGCTCGTATTTAAGTCAGGTCACTGGGCCAGAGTTTACAGTTACGATTAGCCCTTGGAACAGAAGTGGCTGGAGTGTCAGGTTTAACACAATGTTCCAGATCATGAGAGCCACGATGGGAGAACTTTTGGGACAGAGTTAGCTGACCTAACTGGATTCAGGTCAAGGTTAAGGGCTTGTCATAATTTCAGCTGAAAAGCAACGTATGTCTCATCCTGCTAGGATTGCTAGACTTCACCTGAGTTAGTCCTAACATATTAAACCAAATTTAACCTGGAGAGTCTGAAGGATCAAGTAAGGTTTATTGACAGCATGGCCCAGTATTGTACAGGCCATTAGGACTAGGACAATGGCACTGGAGGGGCTGAGGAGCTTTGTAAAAGTCCCTTCCACAACTGATGCATTTCTCTTTCTCCTGAGGGAGAAAGGGACTTCATAGGGAAAAGCCTAACAGACATAGGAAGAAGGAGACAGAGGAAAAAGAGATACCAGTACTTATCAAGACTTTGGGACCAAAACAGAGTGGTTTAAAAGTCTATACATGTATGCACATCTGTTTTCCCCAATCTTTAACCTTCCTCCCATCGTTCCTGTCTCCTTGTGAGCCTCCCTTCCCCCCAACTCCCACAGTCCTCTGCCTCTTCATGTCACACAGACATTCCTTTCTTTTTGTTCCCCTTTGTCCTTCCCAGTCCCAGCATTGGTCAGAGGCAGCAAGAGAAGAGAAAAACAAGGGAAGCAGCTTTACCATTTCTTTTTTCACCTTGCGACCAAACCAACAGCAAGTCCCACAACCACCAGCACCACCAGCACCACCTCGACCACAACAGTCGTGGAAGCGTTGCAGCACCGTAGCTTTGTTAGCCTGGAGAGACAGGTAAGTGAGAGTGGCAGGGGTTTGACCACAAGCCTTCGGGCTCTAATCGAAGCATTACAGGACCGCCAGCCACCAGTGAGCCGGCTCTGCCCGCGGGCTCCCCGGCCGGCCGGGCAGCGCTGACCCCACCGGACTCCGTCTGCTGACACTTGCTATTTGCAGGAAACCTGCCTGGGAGGCACCGAGCCTCCCCGCGAGGCACCCCTGAGGCAGCCCCTTCGCCCGGCGGCCCCGAGGGCCGGCTGCCGCCGCACGGGGGGCATCCAGCTGTTGCCAACAGCTGTGTGTCAGCCCCGGCTGCGCCGCGGCCGAGCGCGGGGTCCGCCCCGCCGCCGTCCCCGCCCCTGCGAGGAGGAGGAGGAGGAACCGAGAGTGCCCGACCCGGTGGCTTTTAGGGGGGAAGGCCACTCAGTTGCTAGAGCCCAGGCCCTGCGCTCCTCTTCCAGCTGCTGCTTCTGCTCGTTTTCAGCGCTACGGCCGCCAGGCTGGCTGCTGCCCGGCCTCCCCTCCTCCTTTCGCCGATACCTACCTCAAAACCGCCGGAGGCTGCGGGGCTCCGCTCGTGAAGGAGGAGGAAGAAGCTGGGTCTGCAAAGGCAAAAGGGAATTGCATTGTAGCTGGGTGGCGGGGGGAAAACGGGGGGGCGGGGGAAGAGAGGAGAAAAAAAAAAATAATAAAAAGGCAAAAAAAGAGCGGGGCTGAGTCTGGAAGCGGGTCTCGCCGCCCAGCACCCGCACGCCCCGGCGGCCACGCGTGGGTGCAGATCGCGGCGCGGCGCGCAGGGCCGGGCGGAAGATGCACACGACGCAGAAGGACACCACTTACACCAAGATCTTCGTCGGGGGCTTGCCCTACCACACCACCGACTCCAGCCTGCGCAAGTACTTCGAGGTCTTCGGGGACATCGAGGAGGCGGTGGTCATCACCGACCGGCAGACGGGCAAGTCCCGGGGATACGGCTTTGTAAGTGCCGGGGCGCGGGGCAGGGCGGGGGGCGGCGGGGGCAGGTGGGCGGTGGCGGGGGGCATCGCGGGGAATCTTCCGCGGGGGACGCTGTAAGAGCTCGGGGGGCGGGAGGGGTTGCCGGGCGTCCGGCTTTTTGCTTTTCTCTTTTTTTTTTTTTTTTTCCCCCTCTCCCTGCTGGAGAGTTTGGATAGAGGCGGGAGGGGGGTATTACTGAAAAAGGAGATTGAGGGGGGGGAATTGCCCAGTTCCTCGCAGCGCCGCCAGCGCGCCTGTTGCTCGCTGATACGGCCGCGCCGGGGTTTATCTGCCGGCGGCGGAGCTCGGCCCGCACCCTCCGCCCTGCGCCCGCCGCGGCGCCCGGAGCCCCGCTCCGCAAGGCGGGCGGGCCGGGGCCGGGGTCCGGATGGGGACCCCCCTGACCGCCCCGGGGGGCAACCGAGTCGCTGCTGTGGGCGAGAGGCTTCTCCTTCCCCGCGGAAAGGGATCTAATGCGCAGCATCGCCCGTTAAGGTCACCATGGCTGACAGAGCTGCTGCCGAAAGGGCTTGTAAGGACCCCAACCCCATCATCGATGGCAGGAAAGCCAACGTGAACCTGGCGTACCTGGGTGCCAAGCCGCGGATAATGCAGCCAGGTGAGGAAGTGGCCCCGAATGGCTTTTCTCTCCGTACCTCAGGTTTCTGAAGAGCAAAACTTTACGAAAGGTAGTGGTGCCCTCCACGTTTCTGAAGTACGTGCACAGTTGGGCGTGCTTTGGTTTGGACTTTTAAATGCAGCATGTAGTAACTTTTTGGCTATTTTGTACGTGTGCCTTATTTAAAAACCAAAAGCAATCAGAGATAAAGTATCTGCAGTTCCCCAGGAAGACTTCCACAGCTCAGACACTTCATTGGTTATTCCTGCTGCTGGGAATGTGGTGGCGCTGACCATTTACAGTATCGTTGCAGGGTAAGATTGGCCTAGGAATGAATTGCTTCCAATGTGTGCGGTCTTATTAATACAAACAGTATCTTAATGCAAACTCTTCAAACAGATGGGAGCTATTATGCAGACTTTAAAATTAAATGGCTCTTCCCAAGACCACATCTGAGCCAATCTGATGTCCTAGCTCTTCCCAAACTGCTGCTTTGCAGTAAGAGCGAGAGGAGTGTGGAGTGTGAGCACATTTGTGCTCTAAAGGAAGCTGCTCTGAGTTCCCCCATGTTTAGCCTGAGGAACACTTGTCTGAGTAATTAAGTGCCCGCCAAGGAAAGACAGGGTTTATGCTTGGGTGTTCGAAGAACTGAAGTCGGGATTTGACACTCCCCCCCCATGCTAAGACCTCATGAGCAGAGATGGCTCAAATTTTAAGTCTCTAGAAAGTACACAGATACACTAATGAGTAGGAAATACCTTCGGAGGTTAAAGTTAGGGACCGGAATGGGGCACAAAGTGAAATGTGAATGAAAACCTGTGCTTGTTTAGAAAAAGTTGTTCTCCTAAACATCTCTAGGGAAGTGTGCACTGTACTGGTTTAAGTTCTCTTTGTGTGTGTGTGTGTGTGTGTGTGTACTGATACATTTTGCTTTCTAATTTTTGGTTCTACAGCCTTTCAGACGTTGTTCCTGGAGGCTGTTAGTGAAGGCTCTTGCTCTGCATTTGTGTGCGTGTGTATATGTACATAGCATAAATAAATGGCCAAAAGAACACCCATACAGAGAATGTGATGTGTTTTTGTTGGTAGGTTTTGCCTTTGGTGTCCAGCAGCTTCATCCAGCTCTCATACAGAGACCTTTCGGGTAAGTCTGTTCAATGGGACCTCAAACAGGGGAGAAAAAAATCTCTTTTTTTTTTTTTTTTATAAGGAAAGAAAAAGTATGATCGTTGAAAGCCTCTTGCAGTAGCATCCTTAAAACTGGCCAGCAGTGCTGAAGTTCTCAGATTTATAAATATATACCCGTAAATGCACTCACCTTGTCGGTCATGTTCTAAATGCCGCAGCTGAGTCAAGTTGTGTGGGACGTGGCCCTTCCGACTAAGCAGTCCAGTCCCATATGACTCTATAAAAAAACAAGGAGGTATGACTTGATGCAAGATTGCTGTGCCCCGTTTCTCTTTTTTCAGCTTGACTCAATGTTATTTATCTCTTTCTAATCTGACAGGGATCGTTTACAGTTAAGATAACTGATCAGAAGGATATGATGATAAGAGGTGGAATAGTTCTGTTTGGAATTAAACTCTGTAACCAGTAGACTCAAACACAAACAAGCTAAAATGGTGATTAACGATGCATGTATGTTTTTCTTCATATAGTCAATAGACCTCGGTGTGCTTTTTTTTATTTATTACAGTAATGAAGTGGTGTTGATAGCTAAACTGTGTGCTTTTATTTATTTGAAAGAGCTGTAGTGAAAGTTTTTTGGGGGGGGTCTTTTTAATTTTGGTTTTGTTGTTGAGGAGTGACTTTGCCATGGGGAGCAAAGGGCCTTTTTTTTTTTCCTTGCTTTCAAGCTGTAGCCTGTGACTTTTTTTAACCATATTTTGTAGTGAGTGCTAAATTGTGTGACTTCTTGATTTTTAAGTAAATCAACGTATTGCTTGCATGTTCATAATTTTTGGGGGGCTTTGTTCTCGGGAGGGGTGTGGAGCTCCCTATTAACGATGTGCGTCCATTTGGGCTTCCTAATTTGAAGAGTTTTTCCTTCAATCCTTCTTTAATATCTAGCGCATTTCTCCTGTACTTGAATTTACTATTCCTAAGTAGATCTAACTCTTGCTTCCTATAGGCATATAATTAGGAGGTGAAGTCTGCATTAAGTTTTCCATAGAGTGTCACTTCACTAATGCACACTGACTGAGAAACCCATTGCAAAATAGTGCATTTTGCTAAGCTAACAATAAAATAGGGAAACTTTGTCACAAATGTTTATTTGTTTAGATTATCTTACCTATCCGTTATTAAGCACCAATAGCTTATCGATAGTTTGATCTGTCAAAATGGTGGGAACCGGTGCCTATCCTGAAAACCACAGGAAAAAGTTTTCTTAGAAATTTCATGTAATTTTAAAGGAGAGCGTTGATTCTTCTGAGAGTGGGGAGACTGTAACAAACTTTGTCTTTTTTTTTTCCTTCTCATGATTATCCTCTACTATATTTTGCTCACTTCTTTGAAGTGTGAGGAGGTGACAATGTGTATGCCATGATCAGTTTATGATGCCTGTGCTAAGGTAGGCAGGAGGCAGAACGCCTTGTCTCCAGAGCAGTTAAAGTACTTGTTGCAAAGAGGAACAAATGGATTGCACAGGGATCAGCTGTGAAGAGACTGAGTATTTGCTGAGCACAACAGAAAAGGAGGACCTGTGGCAGTCCGTTGCTTAAAGGACTATGCAAATATAGGGCTCTTTTCTTGCTTTACATACCCAGATCATGTAAACCATGTGTAGGCCAGGGAAATCCTTCCAGCAGAATGAATAGGGTTTTATTTCTAATGCACTGGGCATAAGTCTGGAGAAATGTTGGTCATAGGGTCATGTATATATGAAATTGGTCATTTTTGATCCTTGGCTCTTGCCTTTCTTTTATGATGTGCAAACGACGGAGATTACTAATCCTGCTTCCGTCTCAGAATTTCCAGTGACCTGGTACCTTTTCTAAAGTATGTAGTTGAGATTAAGAACAGCATTCACTAGGATGAATGAACATCTTCATTCACAATATTCCATGACAGTAAGAGGGGATGTTTCAGTGCTTACTCGAATCTACTTCTGTTAAGAGTTCACTCTTAGAGCTTTCTATATGGGTTGCACTGAAATACAGCCTGAAGGCCTTTCTTTGCACAGTTTCACTTTTTAAGTACACTTTACTAATACGCTGCGTAAAATTGGTTGTAGTGGTGATTCACTATCAATACTCTGCTAATCCATACACAAAAGCTTCAAATGTTTCGTGGTTGTGTTTTGTTTTGTTGGCTCTTTTCCTAGCAGAGTGCAAATTAGGAAGGTACTGCTGCATTTTGGTATGGTCAGCAGTGTTGTAGAATCATAGAATCATAGAATGGCCTGGGTTGGAAGGGACTTTAAAGATTGTTTAGTTCCAACCCCGTTGCTGTGGACAGGGACACCTTTCACTAGACCTTATTGCTCCATCTGGCTGGGCCTTGAATACATCCAGGGATTGAGCATCCACAGCATATGCTTTCCCAGCTATCAAATAAAAACCTGAAAATAATCGGATTACGTTATGTTGCTTTTACCTGAGAAAATGCAGAAGTTCAATATTCTGACTTAAGTACAGCATTATTGTGGTGGAAGGAGACAGAAACTAGATTAGGTTCAATGCATGACGCACTTTGAAAAGTCAGGGAACTTTTCTTTATTCAGTGCTGAGGAGGTCAGTTCATCCACCAAATAACATTTCTTCCTACTTTTTGCATTCAGCATCTGTCTTACTGTTGGTGTGTTTCATAAAGCTGTTTGATCACAGGACTGGTTATTTATAAAGCTTTGTTTTCAGGATTGTTTGTTAAAGTATTATCTCTGAATTCAACAGGAATTTATGGAGGGGGAAGATGACTTTGCTTCCTAAGATAGCTTTTCTTGGTTTGCTTATGGAATTTCTATTTTCATATTGGTGGGAAAATTTGGGGTTATACAGAGGTATTGGTGCAGGACATAACTGTTGTAGAGATTTTCTGTTCCTTTCCTTCCTGTCTAAAACTTGTGCTTTGATCAAAATGAAAACATTCCCACTGTTTTCGGTGAGACCAGAGTTAAATCCAAAATTACTAAGTTAATTATCAAATGGTTAGCTGATACTACCTGTCTGATATTCCAAGAGTTAGGCAGTTCTACCTTTTAAAGATAGAAGGAAAAGCCCCCTCTTGAGTTTGTGATCAAACGACTTGTATAATACTAGACTTAGGATAATCTGAAAAGAGGGAATGAAGCCAGAACAGTCAAAAGTTAGCCTGCTATGTCCTCCTTATGGTTATCAGAGAAAAGGAAGCATAGTAAGGGTCTTGTATGTCTTAATATTTAGGTAACCTACTTTTGTTAAAAGGAAAGCTGTTCGTTGCTGAAAATCTTCTCTTTAATTATGCCTTCAAAACCAGACAATGCCATACCAGGGCCAAAGCAAAACATTTTGTTCAAAGTTAAATATATACTTTCACAAGAATGTAATACTGTGAGTCAAAGATGTGCTACTACTGCTGAATTTCTATATTTCACAGCTCTCTGCATTAGTCTAAAAAGTCTCTTCTTTCCTTTGAAACAATTAGCATTCACTTTATTATTGCTTATAGAATTATTTTGGAGGTCTTAGTTAAACACAAATCTTCTGTTATAACAACAATGAAGGTCTTAAGGCATGTGGCAGGGGTATATGTCATTGAATTTTGAATAAATCAAAGCTACAGTTACTGCTAAAGTTAAGCACGTCTTCCCCTTTTTTTAATTGCAAAAATGTAAAACAGTAAATAGACATTCCAAAATAAAATCTACTGCTAGGAAAGAGAGCTTAAATCATGTGCATTTCTCGCACTAGTACTCTCAAAAGTAAAGCAGCAGCTTTTTATTTAAAATTAAGGATACTAAGGATTTCCAGTGTAACTGGGAATTGCTTTTTCAGCTTTTGACCTGGCAGAGCATGAAAAGCAGTTGGGTTCTGAATGGCTGAGATCTTCATGTCCTGGCCTCTGCAGTAGGTAGAAATTTACTTTGGCCATATAAAGCCATTTTACTCGACTCAAAACAGTTGTAGCATGACAGATGATCAAAAATAGCCCCACTGCAGCTTATGCTGTCAGTCATCATGTGTGAAATGGCATGGTGGAGAGGAGCCTGCACAGGGTTTATGTTTATTGTAGAGTAAGATGTGGCAAACAGATAATGTTTCATAACTTCACCACCTGTTAGTTTCTTGGCTTAAATAAAACAAGTCACAAGAGTTTAAGTGGAAGCACATGTATCTTTCTGTCTTGTTCACGGAGGTGGCAGTGTCCTAATGTCTTCAGAAAATCTTAGTAATGTCATTTCAAGTCAACACAAACAGTCTGATAAGCTTGATTACTGTCTCTTCTGTTAGAATTACTCTCTTTCATAAGTACTGTATGTAAAGATTCCTTCGATGTGCTGCAGAAGAAGTTCTTGGTGACTTCAAATTTGGTTTTATATCTCTTTCCTTAATACTTAAAAAACGTGGTGTTATTTTTATTAGGATTGTACTTGGTGACCAATACAAAATGCTTGTGTATGCTCATCCATTTTCTATGGAGAGCTCAGGTAATGATGTATATTTAAATGCACAGAGCCAGCTTAAGTATGCTTCAAATGCACTTCTGGCTAATCACTTCATAAATTAGGTGAGTGTTAAAAACCCAACTTATGGTTTTGTTTTACGTTTTCTTTCCCTTCCCAATCCCTCCCTATTTATCACTCTTTTTTTTTTAATTATTTTTCCTTTTTCCACGCAGTAGAAAAATAATTTCATTGACATGTTGGGTTTTTATGATTGTGGTGTTCGTGTCTTAAACACGACAGCTGAACATTTCTATCTGTTAATATTCCTTATACAATCAACTGAGCTCTTTTTTTCTTAAAAAGAAAACTAAGCTGTTCTAAAGCTTATCACTTATTTTAAACTATGTTTTGCTATGATTCCAGTTGACAGTGTCCCTTCTGATTGAAATGTTTCCTTGTTGACCATTTAAGTACGTCTTAAAGTTATTTTAAAAATGAAACAAAAAAAAAACCCTCAATAAACCCTTTCAATTAGATCTGGAATTTGGAGAAAAGAGGACAGTTTTTAGCATCATGATTTGCATCTGTGTTTAAAGTATTCTAAAAGGTTGGTGCAGTGTTTAGAGTTGTCTCTAAAGGTAAAGTTCAGTATGAAATAGTAAATTTGCACAAGTGGTTTTTCATGGATTTATAAAGATTCATTGGCTGGAAAGGAGATACATATATGTAGGACTTCTCCGGAAATCCAGATGCAAGACAGAGTTATGAATGTAAAATGAGATTTATATTGAGTATATATATATATTTAAATCATATTATATGATAAAATTCAGCTATGAGATTAACTTGTATGTAGATTTGTGTGCTAAGACAATGATATGACCAATTTTCAAAACTGAAGGTCTAAATAAATAAGACAAGGAAGCAAGTTTTTCAAAGGAGATGGGAAATTGTGTATTGATCTGTTCAGAATGGCTATTTCTTAAGCTGTAAATTTGTGGGGTTTTTGCTTTTGTTAAGCACCAGATCTATTTAGACTTAATCTTATGCCCACCTCCCAAAAAACTCTATGCTGTATGTCTTGCATAGAAATAAACAAGCTGGCACAAAACAGGACATCAGTGACCTGATAATCAAACAGGTTTGACCCTTGTGTCCTTACAAATTTTTATAAAAGTGTGATGCACATGTACTTAGGAGTCACTGTTATGGATTTTAATAGCATCTATGTAGCTTCCCTTCAATGGTAGCTTCCCTCTTGTGACGGAGTGAGCTGCACTATCGTTCGTTTGGAAAGTGTGATTCTTGCTGTGTTTACCACACTTGTGAACTCTATTTAAACTCCTTTGTCGCCTGTGTTGGTTTTTTTTTCTTATTTTTAATAAGGGTGACTGAGGTTGCAGAGAAATTAATGTGTGCTGAGTCTGCATAGCAACTTAAGTAGGGTTGCCACAATACACTCTCCTGCTCCCTGGAAAGTCTTTACATGAAGTCAGGGTTCAACCATTTTGTTGCCCTATTGGCTATTGTCAAATTCATTATAGTGATACTGTCAAACTGCTCAGTTACTACTAATAAAAACATTGCAGGAAATAATTTTACTAAGAGTCAAGTAGTTAAGAGAGAAGCAGGGTAATAAAGATGACTTACAGGTGATTTGAAAAATCAGTACTGCAATTTTCCAGATGAAATAATGAAGCTTAGTTCTTCAGAGTTGTCCTAAAACTGACATCAGTAATGCTGGCTCTTCTGAAGACTTTCATGGCGTTAAAGACACTATCCTGAAGCAACATTGAACACTCTGATTCAACTCAGCTATAACGCTGTGCTTTGGAGCGATGCATCTCTTGGGGCCAGTGACCTGACAGTTGGCCCATTGAGTCTAGTTATTGTGGCAACCCTATGCACATAACAACAACTAAATTGAGTTTGTTTTAGTTCGGAGTATGGATATGACGCTTAGGCGCTGACTCGCGTACCAACTTCAACTCCCTCTCCCATCTTTCAACAGGATACCCGCTCACTATGTCTATCCACAGGCTTTTGTGCAGCCCGGAGTGGTAATTCCCCACGTCCAGCCTGCAGCAGCCGCTGCTTCCACTACGCCCTACATCGATTACACCGGAGCTGCGTACGCCCAGTACTCGGCCGCCGCAGCCGCCTATGAGCAGTACCCATACGCTGCCTCTCCGGCTGCTGCTGCTGGATACGTGGCAGCGGGGGGCTATGGCTATGCGGTGCAGCAGCCCATCACCGCGGCAGCGCCCGGGACCGCCGCGGCAGCCGCTGCGGCTTTTGGCCAGTACCAGCCCCAACAGCTGCAGACAGACCGCATGCAATAGCAGATGGACTCCTGAAGGAAGCTCGCTCTTTCTCTTCCTCTCTTCAGCCTTCCAGTATAAGTAGTTAACAGAGACAATTGATATTAACTAAAGGAGCTTTAAGGAAAGCGATGCTGTTGCGAAACTAAAGACTTTTATTCCACTGTTTTCATACAGTATGCATCCAAATCATGTTGTTAGAAGGGAGGGGTAGTGCGGCATGTCTAGTTTCAAGTATCAAGGCAGAAGAAAATGGGGGGGAAAATACTGTACTGTCATGGAAGAGTGGCAGGAGTAGCAATGGGACTTCATATTTTCAAACAAACAAACAAGAACCAAAAAAAGCAAAGGTGTACTCTTTACAGTATCAGGGAAGCAAAACTGCCTTTTATAAGTAAGAAAATGGTATTTGAAAAGTTTGAACCAGGGAAAAAAACTGAGTCAGCAATATGTAATCTCTATCCACTTTAAGAGGAAACGAACTTAAAGCATTGATTGTCCTTTCTAGCTTTCAAAAGTTGTCTTCGTGAGACAGTACCTTCTCACTGTCTCACTCACAGGCATCAAACAACCCAAGGAAGATGGCCGGATAGTAAGATGGCGGACAGGCACCAAAGTTATTTTCTTCTCTGTCCTCTGGATGAGTGGAACTATGGAGCAAGTGATGTGGAAGTAAGGGGTGCAACAGCTGTAGAGACAATCAATAACACAGACAGTTCTGGACAGAACACATCACTCGTGCTCATGTGATGAGCTTGTCACATCCTAATCCCTCGCCCCATCCCGTTTCACTTTTGGGAAACTTTAAATGCTGGTGTCAGCTATTCTGATTCTAAAATAGGATCAGCCCTTTTACTACAACAGCCTTCTCTTTCTGTTTATTGCATCTATTCGTAACTTGTGAATAAAGGCAGGAAGAAGCCTAAAGAATTAAAACCTTTAAGAACTGTTGTAAGGGAATTTTCTTTTCTGAAACCATTTGTACAATTTTAATATCTATTTCAGGATTATATTTAAAGTATTTATTAGCAAACATACAGTACACAAGGCGACTTTTTGTTACCAAGACTGCAGTTCTTGAAGGGTTAATGGTATGTGATTTATACTGTGCCTTAATTGTTATGCTATTTAAAAAGAAATATTTATTTTGAAAGTTTTACTATGCTGCGCTCTGAAGAAAGCGACTTTAGATGTGACACTGTAAAATTATGTATTCATCTCATGGTATAAATTATTTAGTAGGCTTAGATGTAGCATATTAAATATTAACCTAATTAACTAAGGATGTTGACTTGGATTTATTTAATTTCAGTATGTGCACTGTATGAGGGTACTCTTAAATTAACACTTTTTTAGGTTTTTACATAAAACATTGCTAGTTCATTCTTTTTCCCTCTACTAGTTAATTCATGTAGACCTCTCAAATACATTAGTGCCGTTTTCTTACTCATCTGTATGTAGACTGACTATTTTTCCCCTTGCTAGAAAATGCTGCTTTACATTGTCCTGTGAAACTACAATACTTGCAATTTTTATTCTTGACTGAAATGGAATTTAATATTTTACACTGTATTGGATTTTTTTTATACTTGAACAATTTCATACAAGGGAAGACAGGATAGCATTTTTATGGACTTTATCCAATGTCACTGGATTTATTTGAAGTATTCTGAATACTAGCCAGTGTTATAATGTAGACATGACTCTCCTGTGCATATTATTTATTCAGTATGTATATTGCTTTACAACATTTCAGATCTCTTAATCTATTCACTCGTACTAAAACAATAAAAAAAATTGTCTCATCTTGTCTAGTGTTATTCTTGCTCAAATAGTCTTAGATCTTGTTTAGTTAAAACTCGGGGGGGGGGGGCAACCTTTTATTTAGTTTTCCTGCTCTGTGGGACGAAAGGCAGCATATACACGGACTTCAAATACATAGACTGATAGGAACTGTGTTACATGGAGGAAATTCTACAAAGAAGATGGAGAAGATCCATCCTGAGAGTTACCATAAAATAATTCAGAATGGAAGGGACTTTGGGGGGGTCCCAGGTTGCTTATGTCATTATCCAGTCAAGTCTTAAAATCCCCCATGTGGGGACTGCACAACCCCTCTGGGTAATCTGTTCCACTACCTAATTATTCCCAAAGTGTCATTTTTTTTCCCCCTTCTATCTAACCAGCACCTCCCCTATTCATTTATAGCCTTCGTCTCTCATTCTTTGGCAGAGAGCCCAGCCCTGTCTTCTCAGTAACCTACTCTTAGGAACTGGAAAATTGCTGTTCTCTTCCATAGGCTGAATAAACCCCAGTGTCTCAGCCTCTCCTCACAATTCTCATGCTTCAACCTCCAGCCATCCTGCTGACCCTCCAATGGAATTGTTCACATTTATCAGCAGCTTTCATGTACTGGGAGACTCAAGACAGAACCCACTATGCCAGCTGTGGTCTAATGAGTGCTGAGTAAAACAGAATAATCAATTCCCTTGATCGGCCATCTGTTCTCCTGTTGATCCAGTCTGATGCACTTTCACTGGTGCTAGAGTTTACCATGGACTCCTGTTCAGCCTGCCCCAAGCCTCCCATGTCCTTTTTAGCTTGCTAACCAAGCCCTGGGGGTCAGTCCATCTGAGATAAAGAACTCTCTATTTGTCCTGACTGAATTTCATGATGTTCCTGTTGACCTAGTCCTCTGGCAGGTGCAAATCCCTCTGAATGGCAGGTCTGGCCTCAAGTGTATCAAGCCTACCCTCCATTAAGTATAATGACAGTACTGCATCCTATCTCTTCCTCCAAGTCATTGATAAAGGTATCAGACCAGGCAGACACAGAGGGAACACTGTAACCAGCCTCTGGACAGAGCATAAGCCCTTTGGACCAATGATTCAGTTAGTTTTTTGCCAAGCTAGACTGGACCATCTGAAACTGGATACAAGGATTCTGTGAGAGACTACATGGAAAGCCTGGCTAAACTCAAGGTAGACAACAGTGTCTGCTTTCCCCTCCTTCAGAGATGAAGTCACCTCATCACAAGAGGCAATTAAGTTGGTCTAGCATTATTTACCTTTGTAAATCTGGCTGTTCCCAATCACCACCACCTCCTTCACATGGCCAGAAATTTCTGCCAAGATTGCTCACGCCATCATTGTTTGATAGGTTGCTAGACTGTCCTTCACACACTTTCTGAAGGTGGGTGCATCATCTGCCTTTCTGCAGTCAGAGAAGACCTCCCCAATCTCCATGACCTTTCAGAGATCATAGTGAGCAGCCTCAGAATGACAACACCTTTGGGTGCAGCCCACCAGGTCTGTATGTGGATTGAGCTTCTTCAAGAGGTGCCTGAATCAATCCCCTTCCACACCTGACAGATTTTTTGTCCTTGAACCCTTCCTACAATCATAAAGTAGTGTTACTAAAAACCTAACGGTCACAATACCTTCCTGCATGTAGTACTTGAACTGGGAAGCATTGAAGTAGCTGCTCAGATCCAGCTGCTGATGGTTTTGTAACCTTTAGGACTAGTTAACATTTCAGTATCAGTCCAGGCCACCAAAAGCAACTGCTACCTGATGTCTGAAAGAAGCCTGTGTGAAATACATGACAGTCTTGGCCAGTTCTTTGAGGAATGGGAGGATGTTTATATAATCTTCATATTGAAATTCATTACTGCAGCTGTCACTCTTACAGTGACTTCAGCAGAAGCACAGGCTTGACTGCGGAATTCGAGCTGTTCTTTCATCCCCAAAAAGGGTCTTTTTTTCATCTGCAAAAGAGGCAGCAGTGAAATTGAAATGATAGAAAAGATTTTTCCTGGTCTTAGGGTCTCACTTCATTTCACTGTGGACAATTATGAAACTCAGTTGCCCAGAACTGGTACACTCACTAACATCCTGGGCTGATGCTGTCATGTTCTGTTCTTAATGAGTGCTTAAAGCCTGGCTGCTGAGAAGTGTTGCTGAACTGCCTTTTGCAACCTGACCTTAAGATCTGTGACCTTGCAGAGAGCACTGTAGTGCTCTCTCTGCTAAGAAAGCCTGTAAACAGTCAGCAGGGAGGTGAGTAGAAAACAACAAACACCGTTTTCTGCTCTGTTCTCCTATTTCTCTACTGTGGTCTTGCTCCAAGGGGTTTGCCTACAAGACATGGTATCAAGTAGGAATTAAAACCAAAAGTCCCTTTGAGAGGAAGGCAGAGCACAGTGATGGTACACTAACCTTTTATTCGCTATAGGATGAAGAAAGCATCTTCTCCCTACTGTTATACACCCCTGACAATGTCCTTGGGCCTTCTCTTACCTCCATCTGGAGGTAACAGACACCGCAGGGGAGGGCATGAAGGGGAATGCTTGCTGCCCTGGAGGGGTCTGTGTTGTGGTAAGCCACAATGGGAACAGAATAAAAGTTTATGACTGAGTTTATAAAGGTCAGTTGCATGCTGGCTCTATAACTTGACAGAATGAGTAACATCAGCAAAAATGTGAATGTGCAAGCACCGCTAGCAAACCTAGCTTTAGGCATGCAATGTGAACACTAACTCTTCTTTTTGACAAATGAGTAGCTGAACAGACCTTTGTACATAAAATACACCTTAGTAACATCTCACATACATGAAATACCAATAATTCATATTATCAGGACCAAAATAAAACAACTGAGAAATATCAGCATCCAATTGTGATATA